ATTTTTCTCTTGAGAGCTGTTAGTTCACTGAATTGTATTAGTAGTTTCTTTCAAGATTGAACTTCCCCTGTGTTTCTGGCTGGGCTACATCCTGCTTGTTTAGTTGCCATTGAATTGTATCTGGTAATGTTTTACTGGGGACTTTTACACTGGTATTTATAAACCCAGTATTCTCTCTGTCTGTTTCACTCTGACATACACATATGTGTGTATTGTCTTGCTTTGCTGTCATTGTTAATTTTTTTTTTTTAAGTTTCTTGCTTTGGAATAGTTTTGCAGTGCAATTTTTAGTTCTTTACACATTTGGGAGTGATCTGTGGAACTCTTTGTGCCTGGTGCTTTTGTAGGGCTTGTGTATCTCTTTATTTTTTTCTACAGTGATTAATTAGCTCAGATTTTTTATCTCCTTTGAAGTAATTTGGGGTAAGTTATATTTTCCTAGAAAAATAATTCATTTCGTAAACTTCTCGAATTTGGTTATATACAGTTGATCAGTGCTCAATATTCTTCTTATTATTTTAGTTACCATTATATCTCCGTTACTTCCTGTTTACTTATTTATTTTGGTGGGACTGATGTTTGAACTCAGGGCTTTGCACTTGCAAAGCAAGCACTCTACTGCTTGAGCCATGCCTCCATTCCATTTTGCTCTGTTTATTTTGGGGATGTGGTTTCACAAACTATTTGCTGGGGCTAGCCTTTAACAGGGATCCTCCCAATCTCAACCTCCCAAGTAGCTAGGATTATAGGTGTGAGCATCTGGCACTTTTTATTTCTTATTTTGGATATTTGTGTTTGCTTTTCTCTCTTTTTTTTTTCTTGATTAGATTAGGTAACAATTTCCTTTGTCTTCCCACCCTAAGAAAGACTTGTACTTATGTAGGGGCTGATTTAGTCAATTTTATCAATGTACCATGGACGTTTGAAAGTATGTTTTCTGTTTTCAGGGTTTAAGTTTAACAGATGCCAATTCATTTTACTTTACTAATGTGTAGTTTAGATCTCTTATAGCCTTGCTTTTTGTCTACTTTATTGTTCACAATCAGATAGCAATAAATGACTGTCTTCCATAACTGAAGTGTGTTACTCCATTTCTCCCTGTATCTTCTGTAGTTTTTGGTTTGTGAGTGTTAATAATGTAGGATTTTATTTTGCTTTTTTTTTTGGTGGTACTGGGGTTTGAACTCAGGGCTTCTCGCTTTCTGAGGCAGATGTTCTATCATTTGCGCCATGCCCCTCGTCCTTTTTACCCTGGTTATTTTGGAGATAGGATCAAGCTTTTTGCCCAGGCCGGCCTGGACTGCAGCGCTCTTATTTTACACCTCCCACTGTTGCTCAGGTGACAGGATCTTGTCACCACACCCACTTTTACCTCCATAGAAATGGGGGCTCGCTAACTTTTTGCCCAGGCTGGCCTCGAACTGTGATCTTCTTGATCTTAGCTACCCAAGTAGCTGAGATATAGGCTCCAGCCACCCACACCCACTCAATGCTGTGTTCTCTGAACCACAAATAATAATGATACCTTGTGTTTCAGCTGTGTGTTCACCCTTTGGGCTTGCTTTATCCCCTTCTTGTCTTGTTGAATCCTACATACTCAGAATTGAGCCTTGGCTGATACTAAGATTGCATCCTGTGATCTCTTTCTTCACACTTGTTTCATATACCTTTGCTTATCCTTCCTTCTTCATCCTTGGAGAGTACCCCCACCCCTGCCATTTTAGGTGCTTCTCTGGTGTATAACATAACATTGTTTTTGCTTTGGTATATAATATGAATATTTGATTTTAAATGGACATTGACTTAGCCCATTTGTTAATGTGACATATATTTGGTATTGATTCTGTCACTGCTGGTTTTGTTGTAAGGCGTGTTTTTCTTTTAAAAGATTATTTTAAAACATCTTTCTGCGGTTAGCTCTTTGCCCGGCCCCTTGCTTGTTCTTTTGAGTGAGTTCCAGAAGTTGAGGGGTGGGCTTCTGACTCAACCCTACCATCTTCAAACTTGGAGTCCCAAACGTGGCTCAGGCATAAAAAAAAGAACAAAAAAGAAGAGCTGTTTGGCTTAGTAGTGGCCTCTTAAACAGACAAGACAGAAGTGGAAATGTGGTCTCTTTGCCATCCTTTGGACAAATGTGCTTATGGTTTCTGCTGTGAAGGGCGGCAAGGCTGACACCAGGAGGCTTGTTGTGCTTTGTGCCCAGGCTGATCTGTGGGTCTCTGGTCCAGAGACTGGCTGTAGAAGCCTTTCTGTATGCCTGGAGCCTCTGGGGCAGAGACTGGAGCTTCCCTGCAGCACGCTGGCATGGATGGTGCTCTTGGTCACCTTGCCTCGAGGAGGGGTTGGCTTTTCCTAAGGCTAGTAAACCTGAGGCAGCTGTACCTGCTTTGACACAGAGCATAGGTGCAAGTCCCTGTGCAGAGGTGTGACTGTGTATTCTAGAACATTCTCTACCCTCCTGTGTCTTCTTGGTGCATGCAGAGTGGGGCCTGTGTCCTCCCTCATCCATGTGATCTCACCTTTCTCAGATCAAGGACCTCCTTGAGAGAACAAAAGCCCTGGCTCTTCCCGAAAGAGTTGCACACCTGCAGCCATATCTGTGTATCATTTCTGGGTTCCTACGTCTATGAGCGGCCCTGCTTTGACGTTGTGGCCCTAGTGAAGGCACATGCCTGTTGTGTTGGGTGAGGTAGTGGTACAGTCCAGAACCCTGCATCTTAACTTTCTTTTTGCTGAAAGACAGGCAAGTGTGAGAGGGCAGGGTCTTGGTCCGGTCCATTTCAGCTCTTCTAGTTCCTTCTGTCCTCCTTTGCCAGGACTAATTAAGAACAGGCCATTTCCTCCCCACCAGGGCTCTTGACTCTGCCACTTCAGCTTCTATTTTTACACTTCCTGGGCTACACTTGTGTTAATCCGATATGTTTCTTCTGTTGGTAGGAGCTGAATAGACCTGCATATTCAACTCATGAGATTTTCTGATTTATCAACAAATACTAATTTTGTGTTTTCTTTACTATATTGTTTCTTAATTAAATCAAGGAATGACATAGAGTCCCTTAAGTCATAAAATATTTACTCTGTTGCTTCCAAGGTTCTTCACTGTTTTTTCCCTTCATATGCCACAGGGATTAACAGAGAAAAAGGTGCCATAAGTATATGTGCCATTCAGTGGGCAGCTGGCGCTCTTTTCCCATGAGATTAACTAGAAATGTTACAATGATTTAGGAGTAGAATTGTCCTCAAGTGCTGTTGTATTGCTTGATTCACAGAGGTTACAAAATTATTTTGTCTTATTTTACTTCTGGGACATTATAGTCAAGTAATTAAAAAGTGTACTAGTGAATTTAAATTGAAAACGATTTAAATTTCTATTTGATTTGGGTTGTGCAAAAGTTAATAGAATTATTTTAAGTTACATTTAGAAGAAGCTAAATAATTTCAGAGGGATTTTCATTTAAATTTGCTTATGAGATTTTTATGTTCTTAGGAACAGAATAAATTCTCTCCCAATTCACTTAAAATAGAGATGATAGTGTTTTGAACTCAGGGCCTCACACTTACTGTGCAAGTGCTCTGCCTTGAGCTATGAGGCAACTGTGAGACCCTGAGTTAAAGCAAAACAAAACAACAAAAAAGCAAGCTAGGCATGGTAGCATATGGTTCCAGCTACTTGGAAGTTCTGCAGTCTGAGGCTGGCCCTGGGCAAAAGCTCAAGATCTTATCTGAAAGACAAACTAAAGCAAAAAGTGTTGGAAGAGGAACTCAAGTGAGCAGACCTTCGTAGCAAGCATGAGACTCTAAGTTCAACCCCAGTATTGACAGTACTATAGCAATAATCGTAATAATAATTATAATTTCATAACTCTAATTATGTTGTTATAATCATATGCTATAATTATATTGTTTATGATAATAATTATAATATTTATCATTATTCCTGCTATTATTATTATTCACTGGATGATGTGGGGAAATGAAAAGTGAGTAGATTTAAACACAAGTAACATAGATGTTTTTAGTGGTTGATTTGCAAGCCAGTTTTTCTTTTTGCTGGTTTTCTTTGTTGGGTTTGTTGTCAACAACTTTCCAGCATCAAAGTACCATTTAACATTAGTGCTGCTATGGCTGAAGGCTGTTTCAGTAATATACTGTTCTGTGTTTACTGAGGATTCTCTGCTCTGGTTGATACTGTGCAGTCTCCTCATGTTCCTTTTCTGCTTGATCCCTGCCCCAGCAAATGGAACCCAGCAAGCAAGTTCTATGGTGACAGAAAGATGCTGCCATCCAGTAAAGAATCTAGTTAATTTCCGTATTCTACTACTCAGTAATTATCTTCAGATAAGTGAATAGATAGTCTGTTGTGAAGTCTTCCTTGAATGAGTTATAAACCAGGGGAGCCAAGGCTTGAAGGTTTGAGTGAGCAGGGGTTCTGGGGACTGAGGATGGCTCTGGTGGAGATTAGTGCAGACCACCTGCCATCTCCATTGAGTTCACTGGACATCTGGGCAGAGGACACTAGGTTTGCAGTCAGTTGTGGTCAATTGCTCATGTCTTGGAAAACATGTAGTCATTTCCTCAGTATCATTGAGAAGGAACCTGAAGAATGGTGTTTTATTTTTCTGACTGCCTTCCGGAGGGGTGACTTTATATGGCCGTGTGTTGTCTTGCACTTTGCCTACCATTTGGAATCAGACATTTACCTGTTCCTTGGGGATCACATACCAGTAGGGTTCTCCTGGTCTGGAATGAAGATGTTTCTGGAAGGCAGCCATGGGGGTGGAATTCCCGCCATTCTCCCTCAACTGTGTCCAGCCCTGCCACATCACTGTCAGTGGTCACCTGCCCCCGCCCCCAGGGGCCTGGTCTCTATCCTGAATCCAGATGTCACAGTCAATATCTGAATCTTTGAACCAGCTGTTTCTAAGGAGACCTTCTTTTATCATAAATGAGGTGAAAGAGAGATGGGCTAATTTGATTGGAGGCCGTCTCTTGTCCCCCAGGAAATGCTTTCTGGCGTGGTGGTCATCTCTAGCAAGGATTCTGTCCAGCATCAGGGCATGTCTCTGACAATGGAAGGGACAGTGAATCTCCAGCTCAGTGCCAAAAGTGTGGGCGTGTTTGAAGCTTTCTACAATTCTGTGAAGGTAAGAATGCCCAGTTCTTGGTGCTTTTCACTTCCATCTGCCTTAATTGCTACCTGTGGTTATTTTGTAAGGGATCAGTACTTCCTGGTCAACCTGAAAAGCAGTCATATATTTTGTTTCTCAACATATCCTATTATGAGATGTCTGCTTGTATTTATTCTTACTTGATTTGTAGGATTAGACTATAAATGGACTAATTTCAGCCATTCAAAAGAGCAGGGCTCTTCCAAGAAGTTGCACCTGTGACCTGCAGTCCTTTTCTCCCACTATCAAAACTGTTATTAGTTGTGTGTCTTGTTTGATTTGCTAGGTAGCTATTGTTGGATTTGAATTAAGGTAAGATGCAGATAGAACAAGTAGCTGTTCTTTGCCTTTTGTCATTTGGGATAGACTTTTGTAAAGTTCTTCTAAACTTACAGTTGGCTCAAGTAGTAGAGCGACTGCTTTGCAAGTATGAAGCCCCAAGTTCAAATTCCAATCCCACCAAAAAAAAAAAATTTTTTTTTGACAGTTTTTTATATTTACAATTTCCTTTTCCTGAAGGCAAGTCAACTCTCATGGAGAAGGAAGAGTTGAGAGGAAGAGGGGCCTTAGTATGTCAGATTCATAAGTTTACTGTGCTTTTGCAGTTTCCTAATTTTCTTCCATTGAGCACTTAGAGACTCCCTTACTTGGAGGGACAGGGATTTTCTCAGGGTGCTGCGAACCCAAAACTTCAACAGCATGAACACCTGCAATGTTAGTCTGGCTTCCTTCTTGAAGGCCCAGCTGAAGGGGTCTGCATGTGTGGCCGAAACTGGTGGAGAGACCTGCTCTGCCCTCACACTGCAGCCCTGAGATCAGAAGGTCAGAGCTGCAGGGAGTTGGAGCAGCATGGTGCTGAGAGGAGGCTGGGTAAGGAGGAGTGTAGGCCCTCCTGGCCAGGCAACTTCCCTGTGCGTGTCTGCTTCTGCATTCTGCATGGAGGTGTTGTTAGTACAGTTCAATGAGATGTTTGGGCAGGAGAGAGGGACATGTGTGTTCAGTTCCTACTGGTTACAAGCATCTTGGTGTCTAACACTAGAAATTAACTATTACTGTGCTAGAGATTTGAAACTGAGACTGGCTTACTGTTCATCTCCAGACGGGAGACACATAGGAAGGCCATATCCAAGGGCTTGGGGCTGTGTCTCCCAGGAGATTATTATAAACTGTAATTGGAGAGGACAGCTACAAGTGCATACTGATGGACTGAGTTCATTTTCTTTTACAGCCAATCCAGATTATAAACAGTACCATAGAAATGGTGAAGCCTGGAAAGTTTCCCAGCGGCAAAACAGAAATTCCCTTTGAATTTCCTCTGCACGTGAAGGGTAACAAGGTTCTGTATGAGACTTACCATGGCGTGTTTGTCAACATTCAGGTGAGTTTCCTAATCCCATGCAGTTGACTTCTTTTCTGCTAAAAACCAATTCGGTCTTTCTTTTACTGAAGGATAATAGATGGACCCAATATTTAATGCTGGGTTTATTGCCAACCTCTCATGTATATGCTGCATTGATTTCTCATTTTGCCCTGCTAATTACATTTCTTGTATGACCATTCATATCATCATCGTTTTGTAGTAGTGGGCATGAAAACCAGGGCCTCATGAATGTTAGACACTGGGGCTACTAAACTAGCCCTCATTCCATATGATCATTATTTTTGGTAGAAACCCCAGTGTAACTTCTTCCTGGAGATTCCTGTTTCCTTTGGCTCTTTTCAGGCCACATTGACCCTGTCAGAGGTACTTTTATTATTGGGTAATAGATACGCCTTAACTTCTTTCTGGTACCAGCACTAATTTGGCTGTTTTCTTCTTATAAATATCTCTTTGTTTAATACCCAAAGGCAACCACTTTAACATAGGCTTGTATTCTTCACTGAGCAAGTGTTGTAAATGGGGGAAGTGGATTTATGACTTCCGTCTACCTCTGCTCTTAAGGATGGCTTTCACAGTTGCTATTGTCTCAGGAGCAGAGCTGGTCATGACTCAGCCAGAGAGAGTCTTTCCTTCATTCACCAGAAAGAAAGGTGCTTCTGTGCTTGCTGGCCTTGCTCAGCTCCCTTGCTCAGTGAGGTGAAGCTACAGTCTTGTGAATGTGTGAGAGGGTGAAAGTTAGGAATTTGTCTATTGGTTGAGGCCTAGTGGGTCATTCAGACTTGGTAGGTACCATTCCTATGCTTAAAATATAGGGCATTTGGAATAAAAATCCTCAAAACACTTGGGAGAGCTTAACCTAAAGTTTGTCTGTATGTCAGTTTTATGAATTGCCTGAAAGATGTGTCCAGAAGAAACCCATGTAGAACGATAACTCTATTGTAAAAGATATCTTTCTGTGAAAGAAAAACATGTTTCCAGTTCTTTATTATTAGTACACCTGTTTCAACCAGTAACACACACATTCACACACAGGCTTTGGACAACCTCAAGAAGAACAGTAAAGATCGAGGAAGTATCTAAGTTCAGAGAACGTTGCTTATGTACAGATACCAATTGCAGGTACAAGGATATGAGTTCTGTCCAGCTTTCTAGAATAGTAATTTCACCAAGGAAGAAAGTGAATGAGAAAAATAATAAGACTGAAAATATCTTGAATGTGTCTCATTTGGAAAATTACTTTCGTTATCTATCCAGAATCACCATCAGCTTGCCTCAGGCACAAGTTCTTTCATATAGTTTGTTTAATAATCTGAGGACATATTCATTGGAAGCTGAATGGAATAAGATCAGGTCTTTTTCTGGTCACCACTGAGGAAAAGAAATTTTTTTTTTTTTAAGTGTTCTTAGCTTAGTTTTAAATTTTTTTTTTCATTTTTCTTTTATTATTCATATGTGCATACAAGGCTTGGGTCATTTCTCCCCCTGCCCCACCCCTCCCTTACCACCCACTCCACCCCCTCCCTCTCCCCCACCTCAATACCCAGCAGAAACTATTTTGCCCTTATTTCTAATTTTGTAGTAGAGAGAGTATAAGCAATAATAGGAAGGAACAAGGGTTTTTGCTGGTTGAGATGAGGAAAAGAAATTGATTTGTTTTAAGTCAAATTGGAAGTCTCATCCTTCTCCAAATGTTACTAAGAAAGACATGCAGATACACATGCAAAGTGTGTGCTATATTCCTGAAAGCTTTGCATAAACTGGAAACACTTACAATGCAGTAGGGAGTGTTAACATATGATAAATTCTTTAGTAAAGTGAATAATCACCTTACCTGCCTGTTTATTTTGGTCATCAGATTTTACCAATGTCAGGTTAAAGAATGCTATAGCTTGGAGGTTGTATATGTCCCCAATCTCTAAAAATGAGATTTCTTCTAGCTTAACTTCAGATTTATATGAGCTTATTACCCTTATCCTTATCACCAGTCAACATTTATTAGTATTTTGCCATTTTCCCCCTGTGGTGTGGAGGATAGAACCCAGGTCTGTGCATAGTGGGCACTTGCTCTACCACTGAGCACACTCCCGGCCCTGCTATCATTTTTTCATCTGTATTTATTTTTTCTGAACCATTTCAAAATAGTTGCAGAGTCTTGGCACACCTCATGTCACTTCAGTGTCCATCTCCAGAACATTAGGAACATTGTCTTACATGATTGTAGTTAACATTGCATACCTATCAAAGTCATATACTTCCGCACATACTATCTGTTCCCAGTCCTTACTCAGGTTTGTCATTTTTCTTTTGAACTAAACAAATCTGCTTGTTTTTTTTTTTTTTTTCTTTTTTTTGGTGGTACTGAGGTTTGAATTCAGAGTGTTGCTCTTGGTAGGCAGGCATTCTACCACTTGAACCACTTCCTCCAAGCCCCACAATTCTTTTTTTTTTTTGTAGGACTGGGATTTGAACTCAGGGCTTCTGCTTGCAAAGCAGCCGCTCTACCACTTAAGCCACACCTCTAGCCCACAAATCTGCTTCTTAGGTGAAGCTAGGATTATAGCTTTTTGATCTGTTCCCTCCATTCTTCATCCATTCATTCAAATACTTGACAGGCTTTTTCTTAGTCTTCTCATGTAAAAGTAGATCAAGTGTCACCCGGTGACTTCCTGTGGTCACATGGCTGATCTCAGCATCGGGTTCCCCAGGCCTCCAACCCTTCTCAGCACCCATTGTTTGCTTTACTTGCTCTGAAGATTAGCATGGCTTCGTTACTTTGGATAAAAGCTTTGTTGTTAAGCCCCAATACTTTCTTAAATTGTATAGCCACAATGAACTTTTTTTTTTTTTTTTTTTTTCATTTTTCTTTTATTATTCATATGTGCATACAAGGCTTGGTTTATTTCTCCCCCCTGCCCCCACCCCCTCCCTTACCACCCACTCCACCCCCTCCCGCTCCCCCCCTCAATACCCAGCAGAAACTATTTTGCCCTTATCTCTAATTTTGTTGTAGAGAGAGTATAAGCAATAATAGGAAGGAACAAGGGGTTTTGCTGGTTGAGATAAGGATAGCTATACAGGGCATTGACTCACATTGATTTCCTGTGCATGGGTGTTACCTTCTAGGTTAATTCTTTTTGATCTAACCTTTTCTCTAGTTCCTGTCCCCTTTTCCTATTGGCCTCAGTTGCTTTAAGGTATCTGCTTTAGTTTCTCTGCATTAAGGGCAACAAATGCTAGCTAGTTTTTTAGGTGTCTTACCTATCCTCACCCCTCCCTTGTGTGCTCTCGCTTTTATCATGTGCTCATAGTCCAATCCCCTTGTTGTGTTTGCCCTTGATCTAATGTCCACATATGAGGGAGAACATACGATTTTTGGTCTTTTGCCAGGCTAACCTCACTCAGAATGATGTTCTCCAATTCCATCCATTTACCAGCGAATGATAACATTTCGTTCTTCTTCATGGCTGCATAAAATTCCATTGTGTATAGATACCACATTTTCTTAATCCATTCGTCAGTGGTGGGGCATCTTGGCTGTTTCCATAACTTGGCTATTGTGAATAGTGCCGCAATAAACATGGATGTGCAGGTGCCTCTGGAGTAACAGTCTTTTGGGTATATCCCCAAGAGTGGTATTGCTGGATCAAATGGTAGATCGATGTCCAGCTTTTTAAGTAGCCTCCAAATTTTTTTCCAGAGTGGTTGTACTAGTCTACATTCCCACCAACAGTGTAAGAGGGTTCCTTTTTCCCCGCATCCTCGCCAACACCTGTTGTTGGTGGTGTTGCTGATGATGGCTATTCTAACAGGGGTGAGGTGGAATCTTAGTGTGGTTTTAATTTGCATTTCCTTTATTGCTAGAGATGGTGAGCATTTTTTCATGTGTTTTCTGGCCATTTGAATTTCTTCTTTTGAGAAAGTTCTGTTTAGTTCACTGCCCATTTCTTTATTGGTTCATTAGTTTTGGGAGAATTTAGTTTTTTAAGTTCCCTGTATATTCTGGTTATCAGTCCTTTGTCTGATGTATATTGGCAAATATTTTCTCCCACTCTGTGGGTGTTCTCTTCAGTTTAGAGACCATTTCTTTTGATGAACAGAAGCTTTTTAGTTTTATGAGGTCCCATTTATCTATGCTATCTCTTAGTTGCTGTGCTGCTGGGGTTTCATTGAGAAAGTTCTTACCTATACCTACTAACTCCAGAGTATTTCCTACTCTTTCTTGTATCAACTTAAGAGTTTGGGGTCTGATATTAAGATCCTTGATCCATTTTGAGTTAATCTTGGTATAGGGTGATATACATGGATCTAGTTTCAGTTTTTTGCAGACTGCTAACCAGTTTTCCCAGCAGTTTTTGTTGAAGAGGCTGCTATTTCTCCATCGTATATTTTTAGCTCCTTTGTCAAAGATAAGTTGCTTATAGTTGTGTGGCTTCATATCTGGATCCTCTATTCTGTTCCACTGGTCTTCATGTCTGTTTTTGTGCCAGTACCATGCTGTTTTTATTGTTATTGCTTTGTAATATAGTTTGAAGTCAGGTATTGTGATACCTCCTGCATTGTTCTTTTGACTGAGTATTGCCTTGGCTATTCGTGGCCTCTTGTGTTTCCATATAAATTTACAGTAGATTTTTCAATCTCTTTAATGAATGTCATTGGAATTTTGATGGGAATTGCATTAAACATGTAGATTACTTTTGGGAGTATCGACATTTTTACTATGTTGATTCTACCAATCCATGAGCATGGGAGATCTCTCCACTTTCTATAGTCTTCCTCAATCTCTTTCTTCAGAAGTGTATAGTTTTCCTTGTAGAGGTCTTTCACATCTTTTGTTAGGTTTACACCTAGGTATTTGATTTTTTTGAGGCTATTGTAAATGGAATTGTTTTCATACATTCTTTTTCCGTTTGCTCATTGTTAGTGTATAGAAATGCTAATGATTTTTCTATGTTGATTTTATATCCTGCTACCTTGCTATAGCTATTGATGATGTCTAG